CCCCCTCCACTGAGTGTCACAAGTTAGATGTGTTGAGGTAAATGGTTGATATGTTTGCAAAGGATATATGTGTACACAGATGAACTAGTTGGATCAGATGATATAGTTGGATCAGATGAATAGTTGAAGGGTTTGATACATTTGGATCAGATGATTGAACATGAATTGCTTCCCAGGGGGCCCCGAAAAGTTCACGAGCCCATATATATATATATATAGATGTATACACATGTTTTCAAGGTGCAACGTGAGTGCAACATACACATGAGTTTTTGGTGCTGTTTCTTTCGGGTCCGTCTGGCCTGGAGCCCAGGACGCCTTTGCAAAGCTGGGTTCACACAGCCAGGATCTGAGCGGGTTGCGTGCCTTGGACCGAGCTGAGCAGGTTCGCGTTCCTTTGGGGTGGCTTTTCGTGGTAGCCTTTTGTTGGGCCTTTCGTTGGCCAAGTGTGCTGAGCTGAACGTGTCCAGTTTGCCAGGAAGTGGGATAGCACATGCCTGGAATGGTGTCCAGTTCCAGGTGGCCGCTCTGGTGAATTCGCAGGCCATGGGCATTTTTTGGGCATTGGTGATTTTGACCAATTCCATCTACCTCGGCATCCAACTGGAGTGGAGCGCTCATCACAGAACCACCGCATCCAACCCAGTTTTCACCACGGTCCACATCGTGTATGCAGCGCTCTTTACAGTAGAAGCTCTGATGCAGCTGATAGCTGTTGGATGCAGAGCATATGTCTTTGGACCATCTTGGGCGTGGAATTGGCTGGATGCTTCTGAGCTTTGACAGAGCCGGCAGTTGTTTAATACCTCTTAAAGTATACGCTTCGCTGGCTAAGTCGCTGGCAAGCCTGTTTGTTTTGCAAGTCGCCTCACCAAGGTTTTTGTTGTAACTTCATCATGGGTGGAGCTGATCATCGACCTCCTGACTCCAGGAGAGGTGGTCAGCCGTTCCAACAGCAACCTGCGGCTCATGAGGCTCTTGCGTTTGGGACGGGTGGTTCGTGTAGTAAGGATCGTGCGGGTGGTGCGCTTGTTTCGTGCACTTCGGACATTGGTCTATTCGCTTCTCGGAACCTTGAAATCATTGTTCTGGTCCTTTTTGCTCCTTCTCCTCATCATGTACTTTGGCTGCACAAAGGTCGCCTTTTTGTATGCTTCTTCAGTTTGGACTGCCCGAAACCGTCAGATTCTACAGTACTCAGTACTCCTTTCAAAAAGCGGGCTGTCCAGAAGATAGAAGACAGCAGAGCCTGGGTAAGGTTTCTCAGGAGGTTCCGCATGTTTGGGGAGAAGGTCCAGAGAGTCAGGAGGAAGTTATGCAGGTTGCGAAGCAAGCTCCAGTGTGAGAGGGTTCAGAGGAGGTTTGGCGGAGTTTGTTGTGAAATCACTTCCGCAGATGCTCCAACAGGGTAAGTGCTGAGGTCACAGAGCACAAGTCAGCTCGCACCGCTTATTTGTACTCGCCATCTCACATTTTTCTGCGAAATTGATGTTGGGGTGGCTGCAGTAAGTCAGTGGTCCAGTCAAACTTTTCCTTCAGACTTCAACTAGAGAGCACCATGAAATTGAGACAATTATTATATATAGATGAACATCTCTGCTGGGGAGACTCTTTGAGGCTGACCCAGTTCGTCATCGTCATTCTACACGCACCCAAAAAACCAGGTACATCTTCGGGATACTTTTCACCGACGTGGTGCTGAACTATTTCTTAGAGCATGCCAGTGATGGAGATTTGGAGGAATACTTTGGGAGCTTGTACCTCTCCATCCGTCGCTTGGTCAGCCAACTCGGTAGGCTCCCATGACACTGAAATGTGGCCGGCCTGGCTGTGCTGAAACGAACACAAGGGAGCACACGTCCGATTGGTTCCGGGTTGAGGTCGGGAATGTTGGTTAATAGGCGCAATAGCCAATTGGTTTGCCCATATTTGGGGCATGCTTATTCTCAGAGTATCAGGTCTGTTGTTTTGCGTGACGGGTCCGGGTAAGCCAAAGTTAATTACTGTATGATAAGAAGCTACGAACGGGGCTCCTGGCCTTACTACTAGGAGCAAGGATGCTACGGACGGGGCTCCTGGCATCGCTACGAACGGAGCATTCTTACTACTAGTAACAAGAAGCTACTGCGTCCTTGTTACTAGTAGCGATGCCCTTTGCTCCTAGTAGCGTCCTCTTGCTCCTGTAGCGATGCCAGGAGCCCCTAGTAGCGTCCTTGCTCCTAGTACTACCTGCCTTGTGGCCTCAGGCACTTTGTTTCGCTCGATTTCCAATGGCGTGACTTGGGGTCACGCAGCGGATTCCTTGGAGCAAATTGGCATGGAATGGGTCCAAGTCTTTCACCTTTACGTGGCTTTTTGCAGCTTCGCGCTATTGAATGTGATGACTGGCCCCGTGGTTGCAGCTGAGCTGTGCTTTTTGTGTGACTGGTTCTTGTGGTCTCATGTTGTTTCCAAGTCAATTTTTTTTTTTTGTCTTGCACAACTCCACTGCTGCCGAGTTTTTGCCAGGTTTGTTTGTTTGGTTGTTCGCATGTTTTTCTAATGACAGGCTTAGGTGTGAGGGTTCTTACTCCTTTGAATGGGTGCTTTTGCGTCGCTCCGGGAGTTCTGCACCACAACCGGATGCTCCGGTTGTGCTGGGTTGCTCGTTCCGTCACCGGCTACTTCGCAGTGTCTCCGGCTGTCTGAGAGATGTCCACGCCTTTCCCCACAAATCGACCTGAAACGCGATTTGTTGCTCACCTGTTCCAGTGGTGGGCGCATCCTACCGATCTGGAAAGCGGGCTCGGTTGGGGGTCTTAGTGCGTAGGATTCGTGCCGCTTGGTTTGGCGGTGGAATCCGCGCGTGGATGCTATGTTTGCTGCCCAATTGGTTGGCATATTGACGAAGGCTTCGGTCAGATGCCCTCAGGCGTGGTCTACAGTTTTTGGGGTTTCCCTTCACATGCGCCGTCAAAGCGGATCGCCCCATGCTTTGTTTGGTGAGACTTCGGGTTTCACTATTGCCGGCATGGGTGAGAATGGGTGACATGCGGTTTGGCTTGGTGCTTGGTTTGCTTCCTTGACTTGGGCTGCCGGGACGTTGCTCGCAGGATCATTTTTGCGTTGACGCATTGTTATGCCTAGGCCTATTCATTTGTGAAAGATTTGAAAGTCGTACTGTTTGTACTTGCTGCCCTTGGTGGTCGAATTCTTGATTGTGGTGCGGGTTGCATTTGGCCTATATAGTGGAGGGCATATTTCCGTGGGATATATTTTTTTTGGGGGGGTGGGATGCTTTTTTTTCTTTTATGGGCTCTGGAAGGAAGGAAGGAAAGAAGGAAGGAAGGAAGGCACTAAAAATAAAAAATATATCCCGCTAAAAACCTGCAGCCCTATATAATTGCAACGTTTTGGGAGCTTGAGACCATGTTGCTTGCGACCCTCTGTGCCCGTCAGGGTTATGTCGTGTGTGGAGGTACATCCTTGGCTGAACACAGTGCAGCGACATATTTGGGGACTGTCACTGTCACATCGCCTGTCACTGTCCGTGCGCGATCCTTCCAAAACGGGGGACGAAACAACGCGACTGCCTTCGATCTTCAGACACGACACGCGACGCGCTTTTGCTACGCCGCTACGCGTCTCACGAAAGGCGTTTTTTGCAACTCTGCCATCAAAGCAGCCGAGCGAGATCATGACACTGTGGTCCAAACGATGCTCCAAACCAAGAAAGAGTATCGACATTTGGTGACCCAGTTGCACGAAGGAACGCGCCCAGGGATTGGAGGATTTGCAAAATTGAGGCAGTTTCTTGTGAGCCCTGTGTTGGTGTCGACTTCTTTGCATCTTCATCATCATCATCATCATCATCTTCTTCTGTTCTGAACTGCAGGTAGATCAGCTGTTCCGACAGATTGATACCCGCCGATTGGGACATGTCACCATCCACGAGTTCGAGGAACACTTTGATGATCAGGCAGCCTGATCAAAGCCGGAGAACCCTGGTGTTCACTCTTCATGGTTCAATCATCCTATCTCCCCCTCCTAGACCAGTGGTTCACAAGTGAATCGATTCATTTTGCGGCTTCCAGTAGGGCCTGAATGGGAGTAAATTATCTCTGTGTTTGTACTTACGCGCGCACAAATGTTTGGGAGAAGGGGGTTGCTGTTTACATGTTATTGAGTTTTTTTTCTCCTTGCCCACCTCTCAAAGCTATATACCTTTTGGCTGTCCAAATCAAAGCGTGTATTCTTTGTCTCTTTGCAGTGAGACGTCTGTTTTTCATGGAATGACCTGTTTGTTGCTTTGAATTGCCATGTTCAGTTCTCGGCCTTTGGGTGACCGAAGAAAGCCCCAGTCCGCAGGCCGTGAGAGCTTTCTTCGACTATTTGCAGATTGGTGCGATGGATGCTTGTAGTAACAAGTGCCACGCTAGTAGTAACAGGTGCCTTACTAGTAGTAACAAGAAGCTAGTAGAAACAAGTGCTTGTTTGTGTTTGGCAATCTTTATGTCTCTTATGGGTCGGCGGTGAACCGTTCGAAAGACAAGAACTTGATCAGACAGACTTGATCTTTTACCTCATTTTTGTGAGTGTCGAGTTTCTTTCATCCAACATGTCCAGCACCAAGCTAGGATGCATGGACTTTGTTCGTGAGTTTGGCATCCTGGCTGAGAAACTATGCACCTCAGTCATTTTGCAATTTAGATAGGCAAGACAACTTCCCAGTTGGAGACAGGTGCCTTCTTCAGGCAAGTTGTTGGTTGAAAGTTTGGATGACTGTGGCGTTCAGTGTCCATGCTTTTAGCTGGCTGCAGGACAAGGATGGCGACCATACAATCACTGCAGACGAGTTCGCAGAACGATGTGTACAGCTCCACGGTCCTGCACGGTCCGCAGATTTGTATTCAATGAAGCTCTGTCAAGCATCTCGGTGAATGAAAGACTCTATGGTTGAACCCTGAACGCTATTTTGAAGGTCCACATCGGTCCACTGCAGGCGGGTATATTAAAAAAATATTCAAACATATATGTATATATATATATATATTTATTTATGAGCTGTTTATTTATATGCACATAGACTGCATCTGTGTGGTGGGTGAGGGGAACCAGATTCTCTCCGCAACTGCGGTCCTGGCCACGATTGGCCTTGAGTCATTGAGAAGTTTTGTGCTGCCTCCCTTGTTTTGTGGTCGTGCGAGGTCAAAGTAGAAAAGCAGCTGAGAAGGATTATGGATGCACAAGCTCGACTCGAATCCCATTTCATGGTGGGAAATTCGATCACGCCGACTCGCAGCAGCCGTTTCACAGTCTAGCTACGAAGTAGCTGCACGAAGAAGAGCGGTGAATTTGTCTAAGGCACATTCACCAAGAGAAGAAAGGTCCTCAGTATCATTTACTTCTTGGTTTTGCTCGCGCATTTTGGTTTCAATCACACAGAATGTGCGCCCGCACGCACACACACACACACACACACTATCACACTTTCCTGCGTGCGCATAGCGGGGGAACATGGAAGCCCCACACAGCGCTTAAAGAGGACCTGCTTGTTTTGTGGCAAACTTGCCGCAGACTGAAGGCAAGTCTTGAAACTGCAGATGCCTGGTGAGTTCCGAGATGGCCAGTTCGGTCCAGATGATTGATGCTTGGGGTTTCCTAGAATCTCTTGGACTATATATCAACTTGTGGACCCAGATGGCGGGCCTGGAGCATCTGGCAACTCGAAGTCTGCAGTGCAGACTGCCTCTGCAATCTTGAGCGCAAACCTGTGTCGACTGATTCTGGAATGATCCAGTTGTCAGCGCACGCCATTCAGTCGCTGGGCAGCGATGCGCTGGGCAGCGACAACCCTTGAGCTTAGAAAAGGGTGCGAGGCCACGTAATTAGAGGGAGAGGGAGAGAGGATAGAGAGAAGCAGGTGTTTCCATGGAAGCATGTGTATAAAGAATCATAAAGAGAGTGTGGAGAATTGACGCACATTCCCCCAGCAATCTGAAGACCGGTCACGGCCAGGCAAGGGCTTTCTTGGAACAAATGTGAGCGACGCTTGCTTGAGGTCGTTAGGTTTGTTAGCAGCATCGGCTGTGACCTAGTGGTCGTATCACCCTCAACAATTGTGGTTGGTCGAAGACCATCCACTGGTCACCTTTTTGTTCAAAAAAGGTCGCTGTTGCACGCTGCGAGGTGATCCTGCTGTTCGGGATTGGGGTGATCAGATTTCACTGCAGCTTGTCCTCAGCCTTTGCAGGCTCAAACTGTGAAATTTATGTGGCAGAACATGGGCCCGATCAGACCATCAGATCCCTACCCCTACCAACAGCTGCCAGCCGAATACGTGGGAAGGTATGCTCATCGAAGTTTCACCTGAAGATTTTCCCAAAGTGTCCGAGAAGATCCCTCAAGGTCGGAATTTCACGCGTAAAATGAGATTTGAGGAGGACAATGCGGCTCGCTTCACCCCGCAGCCACTTGGTTGGAGGTCATGCTGCCGTTGATGGATCCAATGGATGCTTGCTTGGTTGCCCCCAATTCCAAACAATGCCATTTGCATTTCCCGGATATGGACCAAGCGAACAGACTGACATGCATGTTGGTTTGAACCGCTCCATGGCAAAACCCATTGGCTAAACCGCCCGGCCGGGAAACGTCGTTGGAACGCAGATGGAAGAATCAAGACTTGCCCTGTCTCGTTTGCAAAGCTGTCTCCCCCAATTTTGAAGACGCAGAGTCAAATTGGTTCCTTTTTTCTCGTAGTAGGGTGGAGGCCATGGCTATTAGGTTGGAGGCCATCGCTATCAGGGTGGAGGCCAGTAGGTTTCTTTTCTCATCTGTTTTTAGCTACAACAACCTCAAGACAGCCACACGCGGGAGTGGGACACAGTTTGGACAGCACGAGCGTCACAATTGCTCACTTAGGCACAAAAGGATGACCGGAGCGATCAAAAGGGTAAAAGATGGTAAAGGACTTGATGCAACAACAAGATCACCTCACAGCTTTTCAAGTCTCCGTTTGTGTCCCTGTTATTTGCTGTCACCGGTAGTTCTACCATCGGGTGTTCATCAAGGGAACTCTATGGAACTCTCCCTGAAACCCGTCATCAGAGGCTCGTGAGCCGGCTGAGCTTAAGCCCCGCTCCACGGCCTTCAGCACGGTGCCTGGGGCGGCAGGAGTGCTTGGGCAACTTGCAGCCCCAACACTCAAAAGAATCCAGAGATTCACAATCCCTTTTTCAAAACCAATTCTCTTGCATGAACTGGACCAGTGTGTGTGTGTGTGGAGCCGGACATCCTAAGCAGACTTACAGATCTCCATGCCAGGTTCATCACATATTCCCCCAACGTCAGGTACATGTGATTTTCCGCCTGCATTTTGCATTTGCTGCTCATTTTTTGGGGGTATTTGTTTGGCAGAAACACTGCCGTGGAGAAGGTTCTCCTCACTTCCTTCTCCCTTCCTCACTTCCCAGGCAGTGGGGAATCCTGGTCCTTCTTCAGGCTCCTTCTTCAGCTTGTTACTAGTAGCTTTTGGTGGCTACTAGTAGTGATGCCAGGAGCTACTAGTAGCGATGCACACGTTAGGCCGCGGGGTACTTCGGCCAATTCGACCGGACGATCTTTGGCACGGCGGTGCCGCAGATCCAAAGCCCGGATCCGAAGCACCGGGCGACCGGGAGAGCGGGCGGTCGCGCGTGTCGCGCGTGTCGCCGACGGCGCACCGTGGAGTTGGGATTCGATCGATGAACTATAGCACCAGTTCACCATAGTTTGGAAATGTTTGGAAGCAGCTGTCATATTCTGAAGCAAGAAGGATATTGCTAAGAAGGATTATGCTCTCTTGCAGAATCCTTCGAAATCGTGGCCGGTCGGGGGCAGCATGGCGTCTCAAATCAGCCTAAGTGGGAGCAAGTCGAAAGCAGCTGACAGCTGTGATCACAAATGAGCCTCATTGGTTGATCTTTTTTTGAAAGGACGCTACTAGGGGCTCCTGGCCATACTACTAGGAACAAGGACACTACTAGGGGCTCCTGACATCGCTACTAGGAACAAGGACGCGAGCCACGTGAACTTGGCACATCCAAGGTGATTTCGGCCTGTCAGATGCTGAGATGAGCTATGCTGCATCCTTTGTGGGTCTAGCTGCCGTGCTGGCCTGCGCGGTATCCTGCCTGTCGGACGCCTGGATGAACATGGCGGAATATGAATTGTGTGAACATTAGATAACATTAGCATTTATTTGTATGCATTTTGTCATTCAGCGGAATATTCTCATTGGTCTGGATTTTATAGTAAGGTGTTTTGCAGCCATTGGATTTCTTGGTGTTGCAGTTGGAAGGACAAGTTTGGGCGAGCTCGAGTGCTAACCTGGACATTGGTGCCATATACACTGGCGACGGCATGCACGGCCATCTCCCAGGGCATCGTCACCTTTGCCGCTCAATTCCAAGAAAACACTCATTTGGAGTGTCTTTTCCATGAGTTGCGTTTCACATCAAGATTCACGCTGCGACAGTTGCCATACAGTAGTTGCTGTAGTTGGGCTGAGAAAGGGTGAACAACTTTCTCCAAGCATCGCCTTGCTCGAGGCTTTTTTCCAATTCTTGGCACAAGCATTTATCACAGCTGCGACTTGGCATCACAACTTCATCCACTTCTGAAGTCACTTGACCGTAGCTGCTGTGCAAGGAAGGCATTATCTCACATGTGATGGTGCTCGAGGACATGTGCAATGCTTCGTGAGTGTTTCGTGCCCCTTCTTCCCGCTGCCTTTGAGGGAAAGCCCTTGCGTAGGACTAGCAACCTGCCAATTTGACAAACACGGGTTGCTCTGGCATTTGACAGCACATCAGGCACTTCTTTTTTGGTGGTCTCGAAGGAGATGCCTGCAGACAGCCGGGGGTGGGCTATTGGTGCTCTGAACACGGGCTCCGCCTGTGGTGTTGGCTGCTAGACTGTGGTTTGAAGGGGGGGCATTGGGCTCGAGTGGGAGCATTGTTGTTTTGTGAATGAGTTCACCGGCATGCTGCAGGTTTAGCTTTGCTTCTCTTTGGGATCTCAAATGGCGCGTGGCGTTTAATGTATGCGCTCTCCATTCTGCCCCTTCTTGGAGTTGGATATGTGCGGCGAGCATTGCCGGAGACCAGGTCGATTCTTCTTCAACCTGTGACAGCACGCGAGAGAGAGAGAGAGAGAGAGTGAGGGAGAGAGACCAGTTGCTCTCGTCCTGTGTCCACCACTCCAGTCCCAATATGCCCCAAGACGGATGCATGTCTTTGATTCGTTACTGAGACCTTTTGAGGATCAGACTTCAGACATCTTCAGACATTCGTTTTTTGACTTGACTGCTTTGCCTGTCCAGGCGCTGGGCATCCCTGAAAGATACGTCCCTTTCGGCAGACACTCATGACCCTGGAGGCTGGTCATGGCTGGTCTGTCTTTCTGCGGGTATTAGTGCTGGGATGCATTTTGTTTGTAGTCTAGGTGCAGTCTGGCGCAAGATGTGAGATACTTGGTGAACGTTGCAGTCCACAGGTTTGCAGCTCCCAGCTGTCAATATTGGCTCTCCGGGTGGTGATTTCCTTGGGCTGCATCACGAGCATGAGGAAAGGAGTAGCAGCTCACCATCGAAGTGCCACAAGCAATTGGAGCAGGCGCTGAAGTTGCGTGGATACAACATGCCAAAGGATATAACATGTACAAATGGCATGGTTTATGGCCTTTTTTTTGCGAAATATTGCAATAAGTGATGTCGAAGCAAAGGGGTGCCCTTTGTGTAGCCACGATACTATATATGTCGACTGGCTCGCAGCTCTGGCTCAAGAGCAACCTCTGACCCCTATGCCGGTACCCATAGCAATGTGGGTATCGGGGTGTGGATCGTGAGAAGTGGCATAGCTTCAAATTCAAAGCAGGATTGCTGTTGGAAGGGGCAATCCGTGATGACGAACAAAAGGCGCAAGGAACCATGATTGTCGAGGTGCTGGAAAGCATCAGCACAGATGCACATGGCCACTGGTTCCGCGCCAAATACGTGACGGCCAGTGACCCTCATATGAGGTGGTGGATGAAAGAAGGAGCAGGGGCTTTGCTTGCCGCTCGGTGTGCCTACCACGCCTGTGAAGGCCCCTCGATCGACTGTACAGTGACTCGAAGGGGAGCTTCCATCCACATGGGGCGCTTCAGGGTCCTCGCGCTGAAGGGGGTCGACAATCGGGTGCCAGAGTGGGCATTCGTAAAGGCGTGCAGCAAGGACTTCCTGAAGTACCTGAAGGGAAGAGGGTTGGAGCCAAGAACGAAGAAGGCTGGAGAAGAGTTACCCTGGGTTGACCCAGGTGAGGAAGAAAATGAGGAGGACGAAGCCGATGGCTCAGAAGCTGAGAGCTCAGGCGGCAAAGGTTTGAAAGCCAAGCTGCTGAAGGCCCGTGATGAAGTTGGGCGCCTCGAGAAGGAGCTCAAGGAAAAGCTGTTGGGCAAGAACGTCAAAACGATCAGCAGCGGACACCAAGAAGAAAAAGAAGAAGCTTAAGAAGGCGGAGGAAGGGGCAGCAGCCTCTGCGGAAGGCAAAGGAGAAGAGAAAGTTAAGAAGGCAAAGAAGCGAAAGAGGTCACCCTCCTCACGAGGCGCCGGTGCCGGTGCTGTGAGTTGGCAGTGTGCGTGGTGACCAAGCGCCGCCTCTGACAATGAAGTGCAAGCTGTCATGGGCCGCATGGACTTATGCACGCAACATCATACGGTGTTGTCGCTTGAGCGTTCTTTGTCTATTAGCGCTGTGGGGTATTTACACCCTTCAGGTTCTGTTTTGGCTGACAGCTGTGCCAAGGGCTGTATTGTTTGCGCGCATACTTTTGTACGTATAATGTTCTATGTGCCAGGCTCTCAACTGACCATTGTACCAGCATGTTTCAGCATGCTACACACACAATAGTCGTGCTGGATACTGGTTGGCCTTGGGCGAGTGAAGCCTATGGGCTTTGCCGACTGTGCGCATACTTTTGTGCGCATCAAGATCATACGGCCTTATCGTTCTGCAGATCGTTGCTTCAAGCATGCTACCAAGCCAATAGTGGCGCTGGATACTGCCTGGCCTTGGGCCAATGACACTTACGGGCTTTGCTGTTGGCGCGCGTGCTTTTGTGCGCATAAACTTATACGCTGCTGGTGTTGTGGTCCTGGGTGCTGGTGCTGTGAGCTGGCTGAGTGCGCGTTTAAGACGGGTGCTGGTGTCAGCTGATTGTGCGAGGTGTCGTAAGCTGGCTGGGTCCTATGTCAACAGGTCCTGGCATTCTGCCTAGCTATCTGGGCCTATGCTGGTGTAATTCATTTTTTTCTGAGCTTCATCCTTGTCCTCGTGCTCTATTGCGTGCGTGTTCCCACCCATGTCAGGTTCCTCCTGTGACTGACTTTTTTTGTTGCTTCCCATGTTTTTGCTTCATGGCTTGCTGCTGGATGGCTGCATGCTGCATGCTGCTGGTCTGCTGCTGCTCTGCTTGCTGCTGCTGGTGCAGCTGCTGCTGCTGCTGCTGGTTCTGATACCGAAAAAATAAAAAACCACAACTTCCTTTTCATCATATCATTATATCATTATATCTTTGAACAAACCTATATATATATATATTTAAATATTAACAATAGACATTATAGTGTTATACATTTTTTTGATTAGAATAGCATATAGGTATGGACGTATATATATATATAGCTTTTCACTTTCAGTTAATTGTGTTGCTGCTGATTTTTTGCTGGCTTGCCGCTCTTTTGTTGCTTCTGGTTTGCTGCTGGTACTGCTGCTGATCTTCTGCTGCAGGCCGGCTGGCTTGCTGGTCTTCCGCCGCTGCTCTAGTGGTATGCTAGTTCTGCTGCTGCTGCTGCTGCTGCGGCTCACTGGCGGTTGGATGATTTGGATGCTCCGGTTTCTTTGACTTCGGCCTTTCCCCATGCAACCAAGAAACAATTCAGCAGGGCTCCAGATGAACCTCTTTGGAACTTTGGACTGCAGCCAGTCCCTGAAATTCCCATCCCCGCTCAGCGCCACCCGCTCAGCGCCAGTTACACAGTCGGGTCAATAATAATTTCGGCATCTCATGATAACATGGCCACCAGGTGGCAGGGTTTTCATTTGCACAGGTGTGTAGACGTGAGCAGTGTCATTCTCAAGACAGCCATCGAAGGTGAAGCAACAGCATGTGGCCATCTTGGCCACAACCTTCCTCGGCAGCTTGTTCCCAAGTTCTGCCAACTTCAACGTCTCCAAACACATCCAGGTAGTACACGGCTTTGGTGCGACACTGGGTTTCGAATTGCACACGAGTGTACCGGCGCGGCGTCTATTTTGCCGTTGTTCATAAGTTACGGGAGCTGGTTCGAGACTGGGCGATCGCGGTAGCTGGGTTCACTGACCTGCGCCGCGGCTTCTCTGTTGTTGTTCCCAAGGACCGGCTATGCCAAGCTCTCATTTATTGGAGGCTTTTTGTCACTGTCAGCCTTTGCCTTGGCGGGCTACTTCGGTGACCGCTACGGGCGAAAGAAACTGGGCATTCTGGGCATCCTGCTCAAGACCCTGGTGGATGCTCGGAGATCAGTGGGAGCCACTAGCACTTTCAAGTGTGACGGTTGCAATTTAAGCCTGAGGATGTAGCATTCTACAGTGTAGCTGCAGGCGCTGAGTCAGCAGCTTGGCAACATCTACCGAGCTAGTATTGTTGGCATTTGCGGTGCAACAGGTTTAACCGTTGAATCGCGCTGAGGTGTCTTTGATTGTGATTCTATTCTGCATTCGCGTGGCCCTGGGAATGGCACTGGACACCAACTTCCAGGCTTTTGGGTCAGGCTGGGCTCAGTTACGAACGGCTCGAGAGCTGACAGGCTCTTTCGGGTGAAGTCTTCCCAACGGAAAGGCGCACCAGCGCCCAGGCACGGGGTATGCACCTGCAAAGCACTGCCGGCTCGGGGAGTTCCATGTGATGTCCAGCACATGTCCAGCTAAAGCAGGTGAGTCGAAGAATGTTTGTTTCTTTTTCTTCTTTGTTTCCTCTCCTCCGTATGTTTTTACAAGAGCATGAGTACGAGAGCATGTTTTCATTTGTCAGGGCATCTTGGTGCTGATCGGCGGCTTGGGTGGTCCCTTAGGACTGCTCTTCTCCACGCGGCTTGTGCCCTATGTGGGGACCACGGCAGCTGCTGCCAGGCGTGTCCATGCTGAGCATATCTGAGCATGCCATGCCGGACCTATGCATCTCTATTTGTGTAGTGAAGGGCAACCAGGGGAACAGTGTAGCTCGCGAAGCCATGAAGCTTTTCAAAGTTTTTCAGTGTCCCTTCTCCAGGCTTCTTGCCTGTGGCCAGCTGATCTGTGCAGTGATCCTGTGCCTATGGCTTCCTGAGACAAGGGGACGTGAACTCGAAGAAATCAATAGTTGAAAACATGGCGCCGCTGTGGATGTTGTGGACACGGAGGACCGTTTCGGGACTGGACCGCAGAGGCTCTGATTTGTGTGGATGATGTACGAGTAGCGCGTCGCTTGGAGACGCGACGGTGAAGGAGCAAATAGCTAATCGCGGCAGGGTTTGCCGTCTCCTTTGTTTTTCACGTGGTTTTCCTTCACTGCTCAAGACCGTGACCAAGGTTTTGGTTTGATGCTTCGATAGCTCATGTTCTTTGCTTCGATTTGCGTGCGTAGCTCATGTAGCGCCAACCGGGCTTCTCCTCGAGGAACACTGCTTGACGCACACGCCTCGAAGCGGGGCCTTTCACCTCTTGCCGCAGCGCACCGCGGGTGTGTCACTTGGGGAGGGTTTGTTGGTGCTCTTGTCGCATTTGCAGAGATCAAGCATGCCAAACGCAAGGCATTCTCAACCTATCCAACCATGAGACACAGCTCAAGTGGGCAAAGTGGAGGAGCAGGGTTTCCTGTTGGGGTTGTTGCTGCTTTCGACATCCTCGTGACCTCGGTTCTCGTGCCAAATTTATTGACACTCTTGCTGGCAGCTCCTGGGCTCTATCAGCCTTTGTGGCTGATATTTGGAAGCGCAAATCCAGGCATGGTGGGTCCTGCGCTGGGGCATGGGCTTTTGCTCACAGTTTGCTGGCTAGCCAGTGCCATTTGCGCGCACACTTTTGATAAAGATGTCACTGGGGGCGATGAGTCGAAAAACTTTAACATTTGGTGGCGCCTGTTCATTGCATTCTTTGTGAATGCCTGGCTTTTGTTCTTTGCAAGCTCTTTCATTGGGCTTTTCCAGCCTTTCCGCCAAGCGGATGTGCTGGACATGGGGATTGACAAGGATGTCTTTGGCCCATCAGGCTTGAATATTGATATGAAGGTCCAACGGCAAATCCTTGACCTCAATCTAGACCTTGCGATGGAAGTCTTGCTGCTAGGTCCCTGGCGTCTCTACTGTGCTGGTGTTGGTTTCAAGGACCTCGAGGATATTTGGAGCGATTATTTCAGGCAAAATCGGTGATCACGATGCCTCATGGGGGCCTCATGCATCTCATGATCTCTCATGCTGGCCACAGGCAACGGTGCCGCTCCGCAAGTGCTACTGGAGGGGCGATGAGACGTGGCTTGATCGAGGTGAAACAGAGGGAGACGGTGTCACAGCGGTCAAGTCTGCACGGTGTGAAGAAGATGTTGAAGGAGCTGGACATCTCTGGACGTTTGGCATTCAATCGACGGCCCCTGTACTATGCCGTGCTGTGATTTGCCCGCTGTGCTGTTCGGTGATCGCAACAAAAAGAGGTCACAGGTCGGATTCGGTCGACATGTGCTCAGCCCATCTCGCATCAAAACCCTGTCCAAAATCACCGTCCTTCAGCGTTTGTGGCTCAAACTGCCACACAACTAGGTCCTAAGGTATACAACGGTACATATAACGCGTTAGTATTGCCATCAAAGAGTTTTGCGGGCGGATACGGTGACTGGAAAGTCGTGGGAAAGACTATTGCTTCATGGGCTTGATTAGCATCATGAAAGCATGAAGTGCATGAGGTTTTGCTAGGGCTGCTGGCTGCTTGGTTACTTCGATACTGCAGTGAAGGCGGACATGACCAGGTATTGATAGAAGCCAACAGAACACTGCCAAGCTTTAGGGAAAACTGACATGCGCCCATGCATGACCTGCTCGACCATCCTGCGGAGCAGCGCAAGCTTGCTGGACTCTTAGTGCGTGGTGCGTCTCCGTCCGAGGGTGAAACGCACTAAGACGTGCCATGGGTTCTGTGGTGCCGAACTGATTGTTTTGAGATGTTTTTGAGATATTAGTTAGTCTATATTTTAGGTTATAATGGCTCTTGCTGCTTGTATGTTTTCTGAGTTGTTGACGCTTGACAAGCTGCTGGAGCGACATGAGCCGCTCGTCCGTCCTTTCTCGGCCAGGCTGGCACGTGCTAAAGGATGGGCCGGTCGGCAGAGGCGGCATTCGGTCCAAATCGAACGATCGCGTGAGACGTGTTTGAGGTATGATTTGGAGATATGAATGACTAGAAACAAGTGAAGACAGAATCAGATTGTGACTTTGCCCGATGTCGGAGCCCCGGTGTAGTATCACTTACAACTACACGGGCGTCCGGTCTGTCTCTGAGCAATTGAGTTGGTGATGGTGAATTTTGGAGCTCGCTTTGGAGAACGCGGGTGGAACGCCAGGCCGGCACCTGTAGTACTTGCACCCCAGCGGCTGCGGCGTGAGTTGCCCTGGATCACCCTAGGCACACCTGGCGTGGCCGGCCGGGGCATGGTAGGGAAAGATTCAATTTGATTGGTAGTTCTGTTCTGTTCTGGTTCTGAGTTCCCGTTCGAAGTCTTGACCACGCAGTGTGCCAGGTAGTGTGACAGCTGGCTTGCTCCTGGTGAATTCCTCCAGTGCTAGCCACTGCGAGAAACAAACCAAGAAAGAGAACAAATGTCACACCCGCATCTTGGCTGCAGACTGAGTATGTCAAGCTGCCAATGTTGGAGAAAGTTTGAGCTCTGTGATGGTTGTATTCACCAATCACAGCGTGGGCTTGTGTCCCGTTTTTTCAATGCCATTGGCTGGCTTGTTTGAAACCATGTGCCAGACAGGTCTCTATCCGAAGGACTTGGAGCAGCTCTTAAAGCCATCGGAGCTCAATCCGTCACCGGTGACCTTGCCACCACCGTTTCCTGGTTTGGCTAGGCTGGGTCGGGTGAATCTGTGACTCTCCTTGATGGATGTAACATGTCATTGAGCCAAGAGAATTTGCAGCTAATGTATATGGACAAGAGTCTGTGAGAAAAGGAAGAGGATTACCAGCATGCCAAGATCGTCCCTGCACGACTGACGTCACAACTGCCCCGCAGCCATTCTGGTGCAATAATAGTTTGGAGGTGTACACTCTTTCCTCCTGCCAGCTCACAATCTCAGTTTAAGGTCTCTTGGATCGAGCTGAAGATCACATCGAAGTTGTCAATGGGATGATGCATGAGCTGGCTCTGGGGTAACTCATGACCAAAGCAACTTCTTGCCCACCACTCCATCGACATGTGGCGCAAGGATCTATTTTGCCCGCATGTCATGCACCAGATCCTGTCAATGATGGAATTTATAGCCACCCCACTGCTGGTTTTTGGAGGCTATCCTGTCGCTCCCCACACTGTGTGCTCCAGCATATGGGTCAGTTTGTCGAAAGAATCGACCCTTTGTGCAGGCCACCTCGACAGAGTAATATGACCAATCCCGCATCTCTCAATCCGTTGATGTTTGACTGTTTGGCCAGGTGTTATGAGATTAAGCTTCCACTGGGCGTCATCACAAAAAGCAAGTAAAAGATTGGAGCACTCTATCATTGAAAGGGCAGTAGGGCCTGTAGGGAAAGGGAAGGACCAAACATGGGAAAACATAGAGACGTCCTGTTTGACTACTTTTTGTTTAATTCGTTTTCCGATTGTTTCCGCTATTTGTATCTATTTGTAATATTCTTTTGTCCTGAAGCATTGCAATTCAGAACAAAAAGAAAAGACGTAGGAAACACACAGGGAACACATAGATACACATAGGACCCTGGACAAAAGCTGGGAACCTCCTTTTTTCTACTGTTTTTATTATGTGCCATTTCTTGTCTTTGTCTATTCCCATTCATAAGGATTTTCCCAAAATCTGCAAACCTTGCAGAATCCACGGGCAAATTGGAACAATGGGAACAATTAATTAGGAAAGCCATAGGGAACAAAGAGACAACAATTAGGAAACCAAAATAGAGCAACAATTGGCGGAAAAACAGGACATACACAGACGGTCCTGTGTCCTAGGTTTTCATTCTGTATACGCTTCTTTTCATACTTTAGTTTCACTCAGTTTTACTTAGCCCTATTTTCCACATTTTTTTTTTTGGGGGGGCACTGTTTAATTCAACATGAGGCAACGCCTCAGTATACTTACTTCTTACTTTGCATTTCTTCGTGTTGTGGACAAATCGTTGCCCGATGGTCAATGTGGCCATAAATTCAAGTAAGTCCCATATTACCATGACTGTCTTTTAGGTGCGGATTTGATGGCGTGTTGAAGGTGCAACGTATAGGTCAGTGGGTAGTACACAATTTGACCAGTTAAGATCTGATGCCAACTCTGCCTGATCTGAATTTGAACAATGACCTCCACACGTGAAGAGCTCTGGATTCTAAACCATCCGAGGCGTTTGCTTGCCATCGTCTTCAAGAAATTCCGTCAGGCAGGAAGATTGCGCTTATTCTTGCGCCGGTTGCGCCGTCTTATAACCGCTTAGTCTGTAACACTCGGGACACCAAGAGCATCTGAGCACCACGTCATTGGCCGGCTGAGGAACGGGCTGGACCGTCTAAAATCCGTCTTTGGCCATTTGTCCATGTCACATGTGTGAGGCCTCCGGGCGTCTGACTTCCATACCATGAAGGTGATCGTCAATGTTTGCTACGGTGGCAAGGCGGGTGGCTATGTTTAGTTCCCTTCACTGTCAGCGGTTCAAGAACAGGAGCCCGCTAAGAAGTGCTTGGTAAAGAAGTGGTTTGGATGGGGAACCGTTTGATCGTTGAATCCCCACTCCACATGCATTTGTCGCATCTACAGCTTGCAGCTGTGCAGGTGAAGAGTGGAGAAGGCGCCATCCCTGGGGTGATGGCTTGTGTCACGTTATCTCACTGTCCTCGCAGAAGTGAGATGCCACCTGGAATTCATTCTGATATGTAATTATCCTGGATCCTCATCTTCAAGTCACCTGGCAAGAGGCAGGCCAAAAAAAATGAGGTCGATCGAAGTTGCTTGGCTTGTCTAGGTGACACACGCCTCTCGATGGTGGTCAAGCCTTCTGACACCATCTTGCGCTTGAAGCAACGGGTGAAACTTGTTGAGCCAGTACCTTTTCCGGAGCAGGACAGCTGCTGGCATCGTGCGATATGCTGGCTTCGTTGTGGACTGCATGACATGTACTGTATATTCATATTGTATAAATATATACACACACTGTATAGATACGTATATGTACACACACACACGCATCATCACTTTACGCATATATATATATATACATTTATTTATACACATAGTAAAAACCATACATATTGATCAACAAAAAGGCACATATTACTAGCACTGTTGTGGGCAGAGGGCAAAAAGTCCCCAATGGGGTCTCATACGTCGGTCTGGTTGGTAGGGTAGGAGATGCACTTTCAGGACACCTGTTCAGGTTTTGTTTCATTTCTGTTTCATCTTGATCGATCGAATGTCGTTTTCACGAACACGAT